TTTTTTTTGAGACAGAGTCTCGCTCTGTCGCCCAGGCTGGAGTACAGTGGTGTGATCTCTGCTCACTACAACCTTCCCCTCCCGGGTTCAGATGATTCACTTGCCTCAGCCTCCTGAGTAGCTGGGACTATAGGCGCGTGCTACCACGCCTGGTTAATTTTTTGTATTTTTAGTAAAGACGAGGTTTTACTGTGTTAGCCAGGATGGTCTTAATCTCCCGACCTCGTGATCCGCCTGCCTTGGCCTCTCAAAGTGCTGGGATTACAGGCGTGAGTCACCGCGCCCAGCCGATAGCTCATTTCTTTTTAGCACTAAATAATCTTCCATCCTGTATGTTTTGAATTGCCTTTTAGAGATTCATTTACAGCATTTTCATGGTAGCAAAAAAAAAATCTGAAATAACCCAGTTATTTTAAAAAGTTACAGCACAGTACACTATGCAGTCATCAAAAGAACAAGGAATCTTTCTATTCGCGAGAAGGGAAGGTGCCCAGAATTTACTGTTAACTGAGAACAAGTTGGAAATAGTATATTTTGATTGCCCAACTTAAGGCAGGAATACATGAAACCCTACCTGTTGGTTATTTCTGGTGGGTGAGATTTTAGGGCAAGTCACTGTCTATTGTTTCATGTCTGCATCTGTGTAGACAAAAACAAAAAAACAGATCTGTGTTAGCTGCTTCTCCTCTTGCCCTGCCCCCATCACAGGTACATGTACTGGACAGATTGGGGCGAGACGCCCCGGATCGAGCGGGCGGGGATGGACGGCAGCACCCGGAAGATCATTGTGGACTCAGACATTTACTGGCCCAATGGACTGACCATTGACCTAGAGGAGCAGAAGCTCTACTGGGCCGATGCCAAGCTCAGCTTCATCCACCGTGCCAATCTAGATGGCTCGTTCCGGTAGGTACCCGTGCAGTCCTGGGGCACCCCCGTCCCCTTTGTCCTCAGGGCTTTTGAATGCGTTTCTTCTTAACTCAGGCCTACGGACTCTTCTCTGAAACTCTGGGAACCTGAGACATGCAGGACTTCTCAGGACTTGGAACAGCATCAGGGTCTGGGTGGCACTTGCCCCCAGCACTTGAATATTTCTATAGCAGATGTGGCATGTTCATTCTAAGTAGGACAGAAAAGACCATCTGTAGCCCACACCTATGCACAGTTTTTAAATTTTTTTTAAACTTTGTTTTTTTGAGACAGAGTCTCACTCTTTCACCCAGGCTGGAGTGCAATGGCATAGTCTCAGCTCACTGCAGCCTCTACCTCCCAGGCTCAAGTGATCCTCCCGCCTTGGCCTCCCGAGTAGCTGGGACTACAGGAGTGTGCCACCACACCTGGCGAATTTTTGTATTTGTGGTAGAGACGGGGTCTCACATGTTGCTCAGGCTGGTCTCCTAAGCTTAAAGGACCCTCCCTCTCAGCTCCCAGGGTGCTGGGATTACAGGCATGAGCCACCGTGCTGGCCCATGCACCAAATGAGGTTTTATCACCAAATGAGCATCAAAAGCTTTCTATCTTCAGAGCGTTTTGGATTTTGGAATTGTTGGGGAGGGCTTGTGGGCCAGCAGGGTTGTGAACAGTAACCCTGTCACACGCACCACCCCCACCCTGGCCCCACCCAGCTCAGGCATCTTGAGGGCAGCAGCTGGAGCTGCCTCAGTTATTGCTGCATTCCCCAGTCTCACCAGGGGGCCATCCACATGGTCAGTGCTCAATAAAATGGGCCCAGAATGAGTAGGAAGGGTTTTCCCCTTGTTGGGTAATTGCTTTTAGAGCCTTCTGGTTAGTGTAGCTTCACAGCCCTGCACTTAATTACCTCTTAGACAAACATCCCGTGTGTGTACAGGTGAAAGGCAGTTTCTTCACTGACCAAGTACTGCCTGCTGCCGGCCCTGTGTGCCAGGTGTCAGGGATCCTCCTGGGACAGCAGACCCCATTCCTGCCCTAGTGGAGCTCCTGGCCCAGGCTGGGATGTGGCAGGTATCCATGCAGAGGGCAGTAGTGACTGCATGGGAGGACTCTGGCTGGATTTCTGCAAACACAGGCCAACACCCACATGAACAGACTTGAGGGCCTGGGCAGCTTTGCTCCACGTTCGGCAGGCTTCGTGTGTTAGTTATCCATTGCTGTGTAACAAAACAGCCCACAACTTAACAGCCTGAAACAGCAAGCAGGTTTTTTATGGGGAGGGGGTTAGCAATGAGGAGTAGATTAGCTGGGTGGTTCTGGCTCAGGGTGTGACTGGAGAGTACACTCAAGCTCCTGACTGGGGCCTCAGTCATCTGAAGGTTCGAGTGAGGCCGGGACATCCACTTCCAAGCTCATTCTCAGGGCAAGAGGCCTCGGTTTCTCCTGTTCCTCTTATGCTGAGCCACACATCTCTTTTGGGCTGGTTTGAAAATATCCTGTTGTCCCTGGAAGTGCAGATGGGTGGGTCTGGTTTGAGATTTGGAAATGTGGTTACCCTGTAGACTGTGGTTCTTGGGAGCTGAGTGATCTTACAGTTACGAAGGGTGGATGAGAGGATAGAAAGGCTGCAGCTGGGAGTGCCCTGGTCAAAGGATGGTAACAGTGAGTGTGATGGCAGTTGAAATATGCTAATGGTGGTGGCAGCGACAAACCCTTCCGTAGCACTTACTGTTTTCCAGGGACATTTATCAGCTCATTTAATGCTCACACCAACTCTATGAAATGTTTGCTATTATGTTTTATTTTTATTTATATTTTTATTGTTTTGAGGCAGGGTCTCGCTTTGTCTCCCTGGCTAGAGTGCATTGGCACAATCATGGTTCACTGCAGCCTTGACCTCTTTTTTTATTCGTTTGTTTTTGTTGTTGTTGCTGCTGTTGTTGTTTTTTCTTTTTGAGATGGAGCCTTGCTGTGTCCCCCAGGCTGGAGTGCAGTGGCACCATCTCAGCTCACTGCGACCTCCACCTCCCAGGTTCCAGCGATTCTCCTGCCTCAACCTCCCAAGTAGCTGGGATTACAGGTGCTCACCACCACGTCCGGGAAATTTTTGTATTTTTTTAGTAGGGATGAGATTTCACCACGTTGGCCAGGCTGGTCTTGAACTCCTGATCACAAGTGATTGCCCACCTCAGCCTCCCAAAGTGCTGGGATTACAGGTATGAGCCACCGCACCCGGACACAGCCTTGACTTCTTGGGCTCAAGTGGTCCTCCCACCTCAGCCTCCCAAGTAGCTGAGACCACAGGCACGTATCACCATGCCTGGCTAATTTTTTTGGTTTTTTTTTTTTTTTTTTGTAGAGACGGGGTTTCACCATGTTGTCCAGGCTGGTCTCAAACTCCTGAACTCAAGCCATGTGTCCACCTCGGCCTCTCAAAGCACTGGGTTTACAGCTGTGAGCCACTGTGCCCAGCCTGTGTTTGCTGTTATGATCCCCTGTGCACAGAAAGGCATGTGTATTTGCCCAAAGCCACACAGCTAGTCCTAGCCAGGGTTGGAACGTAGAGTCTGTAGCCCCAGGGTCTGGTCCGTTCTCAGCCTCTCTCCTACCTGCCTCCCCGCGGGATTCTTCTGCCTCTGCAGCGGCCATCGCTCTTCATGATGCACCTGCGGCAATTCACGTGGAAGCGTCACGTGTGGGGGGACGAGCTCTAGAGCCACACAGACCTGTGCAGGCCCCTTTATCTGTGACTGTGGCAAGGACTGAGGCTGACCTTCCCTCAGTGCTTCTGGCTGAGGCAGAGTGTGGCCCAGGGAGCAACCGGGAGTGATGGGCCTCTGGCTTCTCTCATTGAAAAATGTCAACATGGCTGGGCACAATGGCTCACACCTATAATCCCAGTCCTTTGGAAGGCTGAGGTGAGAGGATCATTTGAGCCCAGGAGTTCGAGACCAACCTGGCAACAAAGCGAGACCCCATCTACTAAAAATAAAAATTGGGCTGGGCATGGTGGCTCACGCCTGTAATCTCAACACTTTGAGAGGCCGAGGTGGGTGGATCACCTGAGGTCAGGAGTTTGAGACAAGCCTGGCCAACATGGTGAAACCTCATCTCTACTAAAAATACAAAAATTAGCTGGGCATGGTGGCGGGCACCTGTAATTCCAGCTACTTGGGAGGCTGAGGCAGGAGAACTGCTTGAACCCAGGAGACAAAGGTTGCAGTGAGCTGAGGTCATGCCATTGCACTCTAGTCTGGGTGACGAGCAAAACTCCATCTCAAAAACAAAAACAAAAACAGAAAAATTTAAATTAAAACAATTAAAATTAAGACCAGGCACGGTGGCTCACACCTGTAATCCCAGCACTTTGGGAAGCTGAGGCAGGTGGATCACGAGGTCAGGAGTTCCAGACCATCCTGGGTAACATGGTGAAACCCTGCCTCTACTAAAAATACAAAAAAATTACCCAGGCATGGTGGTGGGCGCCTGTAGTCCCAGCTACTCAGGAGGCTGAGGCAGGAGAATGGCATGAACCTGAGAGGCAGAACTTGCAGTGAGATGAGATCATGCCACTGCACTCTGGCCTGGGTGACAGAGCGAGACTCCGTCTCAAAAAACAAACAAAAAAGGCGACATTGTAGAAAACAGTTTGGTGATTCCTTAGGATGTAAACATTGATTTACGTATGACCCAGCAATTCCGCTCCTAGCTGTATACTCTAAGAATCGGAAACAGGTATTCACACAAAATGTGAATGGACAGGAATGTCCGTAGCAGCACTGTGCACAACAGCCGAAGGTGGAATTGACACAAAGGTCCTCTGGCAGGTGAGTGAATGCACAGATTGTGTTTTGTCTGTACACTGGAACACGGTTCACCCCTAAAACGGGATGAAGCACTGACATGCTACAGCATGGATGAACCTCGAAAAGATGGTGCTGAGTCAAAGAAGCTAGACATCAAAGGCTGCGTTGTGATTCCGTTTATGTGAGATGTTTAGAATGTGTGTCGTTAAATCCATCAAAAGTGTTTGCTGGGGCTGGGGACGGGGACTAGGGAGTGACTGCTGATGGGTTTGGGGTTTTCCTGTGGGGCAATTGAAGTGCTTCGGAACTAGACAGAAGTGGAGGCTGCACAGCCTTGCGAATGTGCTAGGTAACACTAATTATTTACTTTCAAGTGGTAAATTTAGGCCGGGCGCAGCGGCTCTCACCTGTAATCCCAGCACTTTGAGAGGCCCAGGCGGGTGGATTGCCTGAGCTCAGGAGTTCAAGACAAGCCTGGGCAACATGGTGAAACCCTATCTCTACCAAAAAAATACCCCCCCCAAAATTAGCTGGGCATGGTGGTGCACGCCTGTGATCCCAGCTACTCTGGAGGCTGAGGTGGGAGAATCGCTTGAACCTGGGAGGCAGAGGTTGCAGTGAGCTGAGATCACACCACTGTACTCCAACCTGGGTGGCAGAGTGAGACCCCATCTCAAAAAAACAAAACAAAACAAAATAAGTAAATAAAAATGTAAATGTTATATCCTGTGAATTTTACTTCAATAATTTTCTTAAAAAACAGCATCAACAAAAATGAACAGAAGAGGCGGTGGATCTGCAGAGCCCACAGCTCCCATCTTCCCTGTGCTGCTTCATAAGTGTCACCCTCTCCTGGCAGCTGTGCTGAGGGCTGGGGACGTGGTGGGGACCCTCTGCCCCCAGGCCCACCCTCAGGGAGCCTGTCACTGGGCGAGGGTCATTAAACAAATAAAACTACAACATTACTGACCGCGTCACATTACGGTCCTGTTCCCAGTGCCCATAATCTCATTACACCCGAGTCCTCATTTGCTAGGCACCGTAAGCACCTAGAAAAGAATAGCTGTTTCTCGTGTTGATGCCAAGTTTAATTTACTCTGCAAGTATAAATTATGAGCATTGTAAGAAGGAGCGAGTGCACGCGGCCTGATTTGTATTCAGAGGTTAAAGCTTTGGGCAGAAGAGCTGTCCTTTCCACCAGGTGTGGCTTCCTCCCCTCTTCCCTGGGGGAGACTTTGCCACTTGACCTGGGGGACCCCCTGTGTCACTGTCACAGACTGGGTTTGGGACGTGCCCTGTGCACTCTGGGAGAAACGTACAATGGCACCAACTCCTGGGGCTCTTGACCTGGCCTCATTTGTCTGGTGGAAAGTAAATGAGAGGCCTGGTGCAGTGGCGTAGGCCTGTAATCCCAGCACTTTGAGAGGGTGAGGCGGGTGGATCACCTGAGGTCAGGAGTTCGAGACCAGCCTTGCCAACATAATGAAACCCTGTCTCTACTAAAAGTGCAAAAATCAGCCAGTTGTGTTGGTGGGCATCTGTAATCCCAGCTACTCGGGAGGCTGAGGCAGGAGAATTGCTTGAACCCGGGAGGCGGAGGTTGCAGTGAGCTGAGATTGCATCACTGCACTCCAGCCTGGGCAACAGACTGAGACTCTGTCTCAAAAAAAAAACAAGAAAGTAATTGGGTCAGCAGCAGTGACTGTCAGGGGACCCTCATGATGGCTCCCCTACCCCACCTCCCTGACTGCAGGCAGAAGGTGGTGGAGGGCAGCCTGACACACCCCTTCGCCCTGACGCTCTCTGGGGACACTCTGTACTGGACGGACTGGCAGACCCGCTCCATCCATGCCTGCAACAAGCGCACTGGGGGGAAGAGGAAGGAGATCCTGAGCGCCCTCTACTCACCCATGGACATTCAGGTGCTGAGCCAGGAGCGGCAGCCTTTCTGTGAGTGCCGGCTGGGCCGCGGGGGCTGGGGCATGGGGGGCGTGGGGGGACGGGGGTAGGGGGATGGGGGGGCAGTGGCATGGGGAGGTGGGAGAGTAAGTGGGGTGGGGGGCAGGTGGCCCCTCCCTGCAGAAATGCATGCTCTGGGGGGCACCCTCTCTAAAGGGGTGCCTGCTGCAGTGGAGGGAGATGTGTGCAGAGTATGTGGCTGGCTGGGGGGCACGGGCCTGCAGAGGGCCCCTCTGCAGAGCTTGTGGGGGCTGTTTCAGGTTCAGCAGTGGCAAGGGGATTCCCAAGGAAGCTTGCCTTGTTTTCAAGGCCCAGAAGAAGTTGTATGCGTGTATATGGATATTAAAACGTGTGTGTGTGTGTGTGTGTGTGTATATATATGTATGTATGTATGTATGTATGTATGTATGTATGTGTATTTTTTTTGTTGTTGAGACGGAGTCTCGCTCTGTCACCCAGGCTAGAGTGCAGTAGTACAATCTTGGCTCACTGCAAGCTCCGCCTCCTGGGCTCACGCCATTCTTCTGCCTCAGCCTCCTGAGTAGCTGGGACTATAGGCGCCCGCCACCACGCCTGGCTAATTTTTTGTATTTTTAGTAGAGACAGAGTTTCACCGTGTTAGCCAGGACGGTCTCAATCTCCTGACCTCGTGATCCGCCCGCCTTGGCCTCCCAAAGTGCTGGGATTACAGGCGTGAGCCACCGCGCCCGGCCACGTGTATGTATTTTTAATAGAGATGAGATTTTGCCATGTTGCCCAGGCTTGTCTCAAACTCCTGGGCTCCAGTGGTCCTCACACCTTGACCTCCCAAAGTGCTGGGGTCCCAGGTATGAGCCGCCATGCTTGGCCCTGCAAGTTGCTTATTTATCAATGAATAACCTGCTCAGAATCAGCAGTTCTCAGCCTGGGGGCCACGCAGGGTTGTGACAGAGGTCCCTGATGGTGAAATTCACCAGCTTTTGTGACAGTGGGGCTGTGGCTCTGGGGACAGTGACCCACCTCCACAGGGACCAGGGATGGAGATTTCTGGCGAAGCCATTATGGAAGGTTTGGACTTTGAATTGAAAGGTGGGGCCTAGGGGTGGCAGCTGGTCCCAGAGCAGGACACAGGAGGGTGGGGCTCTCTGGAGCTGTTTCCTGGTGAGAAAGTCATGGTCACAAAACCCTTTTACACTTGGGGTAGCATGAGGGAGGGAGAGGTTCGTTTTGGTGAGTTTGTTGTTCCAGTTATATCCATTTTTGGGGGCTGATACACCCCAGCTTTCCCCTGGTTTGAATGAAGTGCTGGAAGCATTTGTTGAGTTCTGTTCAATTGCTGTTGGTCACAGAGGGTTTGGGAGAGTGACAAGCTTGGCCATCCCAGCAAGAGGGACAGTGTTCCTGTGGAAGCTGCTGGGTCCACACATAGCACAAAGACAAGACAAGCCTTTTGCCCAGGAGCCCACTGTCTCTGGGGTTTCCGTCACTACCACACAGGCAGGTCCTGACCTCTGCCATTGGAGTATGGGGGGCACCCTTTGCAGAGGAGTGTCCTTTCGGGGCCCTGAGGAACTGGGGAGGGTTTTCTAGTCGTAGGAGCTTGGTGGGAGGGAGCAGGTAGGGAGGATGCCACTCCACGGGCAGGTCACGTCTGGGTGTGAGGGTGGCCAGGAAGGTCACGGCTGGTTTTGGGGAAATTGCAGGCCGTCTGGCCGGGCTGAGGGCCTGATGTGGAGGGGGCCAGCGGTGAGGCAGGTGGAATGGTGCCCGCAGGGAGGTCCCTGATGCCACTTGAGGCTGGCATTTGGGCAGAGGGACACACTGGGGGCTGTCATGAGGGACAAGGAGGCAGGATGCGACTCATTCAGAAACAAGTGACGGTCTTCTTCTGGAACCTTCTCTCACTCTGTCCTGGTTTTCCCAGTCCACACTCGCTGTGAGGAGGACAATGGCGGCTGCTCCCACCTGTGCCTGCTGTCCCCAAGGGAGCCTTTCTACACATGCGCCTGTCCCACGGGTGTGCAGCTGCAGGACAACGGCAGGACATGTAAGGCAGGTGAGCCAGTAGGACGGGACGGGACGGGACGGGGCAGGTGGGGCGAGACCTGGCGGGAATGGGCTGCGGCCAGTTGCCCCAGAAGGAACCTCGGCAAACCCGTTCAAAATGATCCACTTGGCGGGTGTGGCGATTCAAATCTGCGGTCCCAGCTACTCGGGAATCTGAGTTGGGAGGATTGCTTGAGCCCAGGAGGTCAATCCTGTTTTATTTTTTTTTGCCCCAGATATTTTCCCAGTTTTTCACTCTCCGCCTTGGTCCTCAGGCGCTTGGTGCTTCCTGGTACTGTGCTGCAGTGGGACATGGCTCTTCCCCTCTGGGTCAGTGGCTGAGAGTCTTCCTTTCCAGGTGTCAGTTCGGGGCGGGCCCTTTGGGAAATCACACAGGTTCAGGATGCAGCTTGCCTTCGGGGATGCTTCTGGGCCTGGGGTAGCCGGTCTGGCCTCTGGGACTGACCCTGGGCCTGGCAAGTGAGGGGGCAACGAGAGGTGTCAGGAAAGCGCCATCCCTGGTACCAGTCCTCCCCATTTCTGTAGCGTGATGGGGCCCAGCTTGCAGAAGGTGGTGGGGGCAGGGCCTGCTTCCTGTGCCAGTATCCCACTCGGGAGGGCAAGGGGCTTCCAAGTGGGCTGGCTTCCACACTCAGGGAGAGTCCTAAGGGGCAGAGTCTCGATGTGGGGCCCCCTAGAAGGACTCTCCTGGTATCCAGTGGGTGGAGAAATCTCCTTGCTCCCACTGCTGTCTGAGCACATGGGGGTCCTGACTCTAGGGACAGTTTCCTGGTCCCTCTGCCCTCCCCGGCTAGGGTCTGTACTTGTGTGCAGTGGCCGGGGTGTGTGTGTGGTTGCGGTGCCTGTGGCACATGGGTCTTTTCTCTGCTCCCTGGCAGGGGTCCTGCTCTTGGTGAGGACTTTCCAGGTTCGTATTTGTCTTTCTCTTTCTGAGAGCAGAGCATCTTTAATGAAGACATGGCTGTTTCTTAAAAGGGTCTGTCCTCTGTGCCGGCTACTGCAGGGGATGGTTGGAGAGTCTCTCCCACCGAGCATCTTGTTTCCCAAGTGGGGAGAAGGAGAATTTGAGAAATGGGGACTTGGGTGGCCTAGTCCTCACGGCTCTGGACAGCACCCTAGTCATTCATTTGCTTGCTCGTTCATCCATCCATCCCTTTGCTCGCTCGGCAGGCGTTTGTCAAGCACTTGCCGCGTGCCAGCATTGCTCCGAGGCACTGGGGACCCCGCGGTGCAGACAGAATCCTGGGCCTCTGGTGCTCACACTCGGGGTTCTGGGGCTGGGTGGGTGGGGAGATGGCACAAGCGAGTCCACGAGGGAGTCGGTGCATTAGAAAGGGTGAGTGTCTTGGACACCCACTCCTCCATCACCTCTGGGCCCTTCGCTGTTTACCATTTACCTCGGCCTCAAAGGCAATGTTGAGAGAGAAACTGGACCCAGGGAAGGAGTCCAGATGAGCTGCCTTGTGAGTGACCTTGTGACACCAGGGGTTTGGACCAAGCAGATTAAGGGTGGATTAGAGACCCTTGAGTGGAAGGAGGTTTGACCAGGTTGGATGAGCCTCTTGTTTACAGAGGAGGCTAGGGCAAGTCACTGGCCTGGGGTCACCCACAGCAGGTGGCATAGTAGGTTCAAGCAGGTGGGGTCTGGCTCCCAGAGACATGAGTTTGCTGCTGCTCCATACCTGGGCCCTGGTGGAGCAAGGCCCTGGTCTCCCTCACAGACTGCCCCAGGACCCTGCCTGCTCCCTGAAGGAGGGGGTGCCTCGGCTACATAAGCCTCAGCAGAGAAGGATGCTTGGCCGGCCGGCTGCCCGGGAACTTTGGCCCTCCCAGAGTTTGTTTTCTCTCCTTGCTGTCTGTCTGTTGGTGAGAAGAGGCTGAACTCAGTGGTGGAGCTGGACCCTGTGTTCTGCAGTGTTGGTCGAAGTCCTGGTGGACAGGGAAAGAATGAGGACACACAGGCTTATGACGGCAGAGAGCGGCCACCACAGGCAGGGCCAGGGGACGGAGTGGAGAGAGAATCACCGGAACACAGCACAGGTTTAGAACAGGCAGCTCGGGCCAGGCGCAGTGGCTCACACCAGTAATCCCAACAATTTGGGAGTCCGAGGCAGGTGGGTCATTTGAGGTCAAGAGTTCAAGACCAGCCTGGCCAACATGGTGAAACCCCATCTCTACTAAAAATACAAAAATTAGCTAGGCAGTAGTGGCACAGGCCTGTGATCGTAGCTACTTGGGAGACTAAGGCAGGAGTGAACCCAGGAGGCGGGGCTTGCAGTGAGCCGAGATCATACTGCACTCCAGCCTGGGCGACAGTCTCAAAAAAAAAAAAAAAAAAAAAAAAAAAGGCAACTCATCCTGTCCAATCTGAAAAAGGTGGAAGGTGGCACATATACGTTCCCCAATATCCACAAATATTCCAGAAAATATCCGAGAAGAAAGCAGTTAATGAGTTGGGCCTGTTCCCCTGCCCCGAGGTGCACGTGTGGTGGGGGCCGTGTGAGGCAGCAGGCCGGCACACAAATGGACATAGTCAGGACAGACCTGGGTCGGGTATGGGACACAGCAGGGGCTGAGTTGGAGACTCCTATACTGGGGCCGTGGCCGCCTGAACCAGCAGGCCAGGAGTTTCTCCCTTGGAGGCCTGAGATCCGAAGGACTAAAAGAGGGAAAGGCGAGAAGGAACAGCACGTGCGGCGGCTCTGAGGCAGGAACATGTTGGTGTCGGGACCGACTTCCCGGGCTCTGCGACCTATGTAGTCACATGAGGTGAGCTCTGTTGTTGTTGACCTGAAATTCCTACCTTTTGAGTAAGGGGCTCTCTGCACTCCCATTTTGCAGCAGTCCCCACAGATTCTGTAACGGGCCCTGCGCTGTGTGTTTGCGAAGCTGAGGGGAGTTCTGGAGGTGGTCTCTTACTCTCTCGGTGTGTCTGTCTCCACATCTTCTGTTGCTTTTTTGTGCCCTGGCCCTTCCTGCATTTTTTCTGTATGTGACTGTGTGCCTGTGTGATTGAACCATAAGGCTTCCTGCTATTTATTTCACTTTATGCATTGCAGAAGCGTTTGTGATTGCAGGAGGTAAATATGTATCAAAGACATGAGTTTTAGTGCCTGAAGGATATCTTTTTTTTTTTTTTTTTGAGACGGAGTCTTGTTCTGTCACCCAGGTTGGAGTGCAGTGGCTCACAGTAGCTTCCACCTCCCAGGTTCAAGTGATTCTCCTGCCTCAGCCTCCCAAGCAGCTGGGATTACAGGCGCCCACCACCATGCCTGGCTAATTTTTGTATGTTTAGTAGAGACGGGGTTTTACCACGTTGGCTAGGCTGGTCTCGAATTCCTAACCTCAGGTGATCTGCCTACCTTAGCCTCCCGAAGTTCTAGGATCACAGGCAGGAGCCGCTGTGCCTGGCCTATGCCTGAATTATATCTTGATTTTTTTTTTTTTGAGGCGGAGTCTCGCTCTGTCGCCCAGGCTGGAGTGCAGTGGCGCTATCTCAGCTCACTGCAAGCTCCGCCTCCTGGGTTCACTCCATTCTCTTGCCTCAGCCTCCTGAGTAGCTGGGACTACAGGCACCCGCCACCATGCCCGGCTAATTTTTTTTGTATTTTAGTAGAGCCGGGGTTTCACCGTGTTAGCCAGGATGGTCTCGATCTGACCTCGTAATTCGCCCGTCTCGGCCTCCCAAAGTGCTGGGATTACAGGCGTGAGCCACCGCGCCCGGCCTGTCTGAATGATATCTTATCAAGACATGTCTTTTAACCGTCCTCCTGCTATGGGGCATGTCTGTTCTCTTTGTGTTTTTGCCATTTCTGAGTCTCGCTGCTGTGGGTTGGGGGTGGACAGGTGAGAGCTGGCTTGGGGTCTGGCCACTGGAGTTAGAGGGCGCAGGGCCTGGTGTGTGTTGCCACCATCGATTGGTGATGTCTGCCTAAATGCTGTGTTGCATCTGTTGGGAATGTCTGCCCTGGAGAGCAATGGACATGTAGGAAGCAGGTGTGGTCACCATCTCTGCTCTCGGGGTGTCAAAGCAAGGCTGGGTGTGGACATTTGTCCAAGGAATGGGGAAGGGACACAGCCCCCACAGCAAGCAGATTGTGCAGTCGTGCCTGTCAGGTGCCTTGCCTCAACAGTGGAAGGGTCATTCGAGGTCAGGAGTTCAAGACCAGTCTGGCCAACATGGTGGCCAACATGGTGAAACCCCGTCTTTACTAAAAATACAAAACTTAGCTGGGCGGCAGTAATCACAGGTGCACCTGTAATCACAGCTTTGTGGGAGACTGAGGCAAGAGAACATGTTGCCCAGGGAGCTTTTGTTAAGGGTCCCTGTGTGGCTCCCACATGCGTCAGAGTTCCAGGAACTCTGATGGGCCCTGATAAAACCCCAGACTCATGGCTCAGTGAAGTTGCACAGCTGGACAAGCTTGGAGACCCCCAAATAACTTGCCCAGGCTACCCTGGCTTGCAAAGGGCCACTGCTCATCCAGGGGTGGACGGTGCCATGCCAGATGCCTGGCATGCAGTGGGTGCCCAGTGTCCAGCTGCCTTGTCCACTGTCCATGCCCTTATCACCGTCATGTTGTCACCATGACCAGCATCTTAGGTGCTGTGGCTGGTGCCAGGCCCGTGAGAGCTGGGGCAGGTTCGCTCAGGGTCCAGGTTTGCCTGCATCGTCCCAGAATCCTCTCACACCCGGGGGAGTGGGCTGTCATTGGGAGCTGGTAAAGGGGTGTTGCTTTCTTTCCCAACCGGAAGAGGCAGGGGCCATAGACTTAGGTGGAGCCCCTGGCTCTTTGCTGGCTCCCAGGATTCTGACAGCTGGGCCTTCTGAGCCCTGGGGACTGGCTGCCCGTGGCTGAGCCCTTCAAGGGCATTGCACTCCTTCTGTGAATGTCACATCCTGTCTCCGTGTCCAGACCCATAGCAGCCCTGGGGAGTCCTTAGGGCTCATTTTCCTGCAAGGGGTGGGTGGGGTGGGTTGGGACAGGCCCTGTGGTGATTAGAGGAGGCTGCCTGCGCTCACAGCGGGCGGCTGGGTTACCCAGAGGAGGAGGCCCCTGCAGGCTGGCAGGAGGCCTGTTGGCTCTGGCCCCAGCCCTGGGCTCTGTGGCGTGGAGCTGACACCACAGACACCTGTGGGGCTGGACCGCTGGATTAGCAGAAAGCCCTGTGCTTCCTGTTGGAAGCTTTCCCATTCCAGAGCCATCAGGGCTGCGGGGGCTGAGCACGCAGCTCCACGCTCCCTGGAGACTCAGCCATCAGGGGGCACCTTTCTCTGGTCTTGTGGGAACTGTTTTTGCCCCCAGCCGTGAGAGGCACTTTTACACATAACTCAG